TGTCAAGTAAGTAAGCCCTACCATGGGTGTCGTAACGCAGACCCCCTGGTTTGCCTGTGGCTGCAGTGGGCTTAGGAGCGGCACTTTTGTTTGCAGAGGGTGCTTTAGCGTCACAAGCCGCGCATCTGCGCGCAATGACCTCATCCCTTTTGCCCTCCATGGCTCCCCCTTTGCCGAAGCAGTCCTTCGTCGGGTGGCTGGTGTTGCCGCAGTTGCCACAAGGTGAGCGCTCGCGATGCTTGCAGTGATTCCCCCCCTTACTGGTGGTAGCCAGGGCAACATCTCCGGCTTTGGATTTCTCAGTGTCGAGCAATTGTTGCTCGACGTCAAGGCGGGAACAGATATTGGATGGTCCGTATGGGTTGCTGGACGTGCTGGTGGCAAGGGCATCGGCGATGTGGTTGCAGACATGAGGAAGATCCTCGGCCATGGCGTTAAGCATCATGATCGTGAGGAAGTCGTCCTCTTTGGGGATACCAATCGCATAGATGCGACGAACGAGGTCGTGAAGGGTAGTACTAGTAGTAGAGAGTTGTTCTGAGTGAATATAGTTGACAGCCAGAGCTTGCTGAATGAGTAAGATTTGGGCGATGGGCCCGACCGTTTCGTGACGGGACTTGAGAGCGTCCCAGGCTAGGTATGCGTTCGTGAAGCCACGTAGGAACTTGTTTTCCTCGGAGCTGGAACGTGTACGCATGGCGGCCACGATGCATAGGTTGTTGAGATCCCAGTGACCCGCACTGGATGGGTCCAGGGACGGGTCGGGGCGGGTGACAAGGCCTAAGATGTATCCTCCTCCGTGTTTAAGGAGGAGGTAATTCTGCATACGATCGGACCAAACCCCCCAATTATTCTTGCTCCGGTCCAAGACTTCGATCTTGTCTAAGTCGGTCTGGCTGAGCGTAATGGCCGTGACGGATGCATGAAGTGGGGACATGGTAGCCGCAGGCACTATGGCCGTTGGCGGACTAAGAGTGGCGGCTTTAGCGCCTGAGCTACAAGAGCGTGTATGCGCAGTTGAAGGCATGAGATTAAGGGGCGGGAAATAAGCAAAGAGCGACGCACGAGTATATATACCTGCGGACGACATCAATTGAATCTCCTCGACCTAAGAAGGAAAGGGTTAAACGTCTCGGTGACGTCGAAAGAGGTTTAATAGAGGTTTGATAAGGTCCCCGAGGGTTTAATAACCCGGCGAGTTCGTTCCGGAGGCCCGTTGTTGTATCTAAGTAGGTAATTCCGCTCCTCGATTTACGAGAGAGCAGGGCTCATAACCTGTAGAGACTAGATACTGCGTGAGCCTCAGTTGTGGTGGAACAAACTGTATTTAATACCTAGATACTGCATGAGCTAAAAGCCGTAGTCAGTATCTAGCGGCGGACCGAATATTAAAAAAGCTTACCCTCAGTTGTGGTGGAACAAACTGAGGGAAGGTGAGAAGACGAGACGACTATATGAGTATATGGTTCGAATTCCAAACGGTAACTCCGCTTGTCACGTCGGCATGCATAGCATCAACACATTACATATGTAAGTAGGATATTGACTGAATGGCCACCCTAATATTACCCTCTGTAAATCTTAGGCTGGCCTGATCCAATATTACACAATAAGCTCATCCTGTACTAATATACTATACAATCTGGCCAGCACAGGTTCTGCATATCATACAGTGTTTGCAATATGCTTGTCAATGCTATTACTAGAATTCCTAGACAGACTGGCCAGCACTGATTCTATGTCTACCGGCCGGTGACTGGCTAGCATGGATTCTACAGCCTTTTTGCATGTCCGGAGCCTGGGTTCTACGTTGGAAATGACTGAAGGGTCTGAAGGTGCCTGTCGAGAGTGACAGGTCATTGTAAAGTGGGTGCTCTAGAATCTATATAGTCTGAATGTCATCGTCTCGTACTATATTACTAGGACTCACCAGGCTATAGTGTCATTCTATTGCATTAAACTAGGCTAAGTATCAGTAGAGTGTGATGCAGGAGACAGGCTAAGTGGCTGCATTACCTTCTCACCCAAACTGGCAGTGTAATGCATTACATCTACTCCCCCTATTACTAGGCCTGTCCTATACACAGCCGCACTTTTTGCATTTTTGAAACTCAGCTATTTGTCATTTCAGGTATATCATGACCGCAATTTTGGCTTCCAAAAGCGGAAATTCATAAAACATATCTTATTTTGGTCACCTCCTCATCCCCACATTATCCCCACACATCACATCTCCGCATTTTTCACCCCCACAGTGTGGGAATTACCCCACAACACCAAAAACATCGACCATTTTGGGAATCTCTTCAATATCAATTATTCCCACACCCTCCCTACCTCACTGCAGCTTCACCACCACACCACAATAGGTCCCTGTTCATATATAAGTAGTAATTTAGTATATATATATCTAATATAATATAATAAACCGCTTTTTTTGTCTATTTGTGTGACTGCTCCTTCTCCAGGGGCAATTCAACATAGGGTAGGGTACAAAACACTTTCGCATTTTTGCCCCTTTGGTGGGGAGGTGTTCTATGATATTCAGAACATGTTTATGAACATATATGAGTATATTCCCATCTTTATTTGACCCCCTGAAGGGTCCTACATCAATAGATACAGCACATATGCAAGAAAACACAAAATATGTTCTCATTTAGTTATTTCTAGGTGGATATACTTGGAAAAATTATTCCCAGCATCTATTCAACAATAGTAACAATGTATCAGGAGCCCAGGACCATAGGAGAATCCCTTGTTGCATGGTGTACCCTTCCTCTCCTGATGGTTTACCCCCTGTGAAATTTTTTCCTGTAGGACCAGACCTTAATTGAGGTGAGGGGTCTATTTCTATGTATATTTGGAGTAGATCTATCATATATATGGCCCAGGACACACATAGGATCCTACTACAAGAACAAAAACATAGAAAATCTCACTTTTGACATTTTTGATGTTTTTCAGTATCTTACTCTTGCATAAATGATCTAACCTGTTCATATATCATTATCATAGCATAAGGATATATGGTATACTACTAAAGGAACCTATACTACATACTGCCCTGAGCTTAGAGGGTTGTGGAAGGAATATGGTGTATATCTGAGTTGACCCAGCATTAAAGTCCTACTACTGCCCAACTAACCATTTTCGATGTTTTGGGGCTTTGAACTTTCCCACACTCAATTTCTTATCTATTTCACTTCCTCAGCACTCAATTCTTGTTGGATTGTTTTGTAAATTTAGCTATATGATAGTGAATATATTTGAAATCTACTCCAGGTGTCTGATTATTAAATTTCGATGTTTTGAAAGTATGGGCTCCTTATCAGTAAAAATAGCAAGTATCCACACCAGCTCAAAACTCCGACCTATTTTGAGCTGATCCTTGTCATACAAAGCAAGTACATATGCTATGATAATGATATATGAACAGGTTAGATCATTTATGCAAGAGTAAGATACTGAAAAACATCAAAAATGTCAAAAGTGAGATTTTCTATGTTTTTGTTCTTGTAGTAGGATCCTATGTGTGTCCTGGGCCATATATATGATAGATCTACTCCAAATATACATAGAAATAGACCCCTCACCTCAATTAAGGTCTGGTCCTACAGGAAAAAATTTCACAGGGGGTAAACCATCAGGAGAGGAAGGGTACACCATGCAACAAGGGATTCTCCTATGGTCCTGGGCTCCTGATACATTGTTACTATTGTTGAATAGATGCTGGGAATAATTTTTCCAAGTATATCCACCTAGAAATAACTAAATGAGAACATATTTTGTGTTTTCTTGCATATGTGCTGTATCTATTGATGTAGGACCCTTCAGGGGGTCAAATAAAGATGGGAATATACTCATATATGTTCATAAACATGTTCTGAATATCATAGAACACCTCCCCACCAAAGGGGCAAAAATGCGAAAGTGTTTTGTACCCTACCCTATGTTGAATTGCCCCTGGAGAAGGAGCAGTCACACAAATAGACAAAAAAAGCGGTTTATTATATTATATTAGATATATATATACTAAATTACTACTTATATATGAACAGGGACCTATTGTGGTGTGGTGGTGAAGCTGCAGTGAGGTGGGGAGGGTGTGGGAATAATTGATATTGAAGAGATTCCCAAAATGGTCGATGTTTTTGGTGTTGTGGGGTAATTCCCACACTGTGGGGGTGAAAAATGCGGAGATGTGATGTGTGGGGATAATGTGGGGATGAGGAGGTGACCAAAATAAGATATGTTTTATGAATTTCCGCTTTTGGAAGCCAAAATTGCGGTCATGATATACCTGAAATGACAAATAGCTGAGTTTCAAAAATGCAAAAAGTGCGGCTGTGTATAGGACAGGCCTAGTAATAGGGGGAGTAGATGTAATGCATTACACTGCCAGTTTGGGTGAGAAGGTAATGCAGCCACTTAGCCTATCTCCTGCATCACACTCTACTGATACTTAGCCTAGTTTAATGCATTATCCCTACAGGATCTTGTGGACTCACTGCTGCCGCACCCACTGCTGCATCCATGCCACAACACGCCCAACACGTCCTCTAAATCCAACCTCTCAAAGGCATGTCTGAGAGGCGCATAGTTGATGAATTCGACAAGTAATGCTGCTAGGTCAATTATCTTGTGTATGATTAGAGTAGTTTTTTTTTAAATTTTTTTAAATTTTATTGTCCGCTGGGGTCAAGGACCCTATGTTGGACATAGCCCTAAACGCGGGGGGCTTGCTCCCGCCTATTCTACTGTAAGTATGTGTGTATGTGTATGCTGTGGTTTCGTCAATGGTAAAACACGTACTCTGTCAGCATGATGTCGGGCAAAGGCCGACGCTGATTTCGTACAGAGGGAATGGAGTGGTGCAATGGGGCTTGGTGAGAGGCCGCTTCTTTTCCTACAATGATGTCTCGACCGGCGAGACGTTTCCCCTCTAGGCTCAGAGATGATTAGGTTTGGTTTAGGTTGATTAAGTGATGTCTTGAGAATATTCGTGCGGGGTGGTGATACACTGTGAAGCAGGTGATTCGTGTGAGCTGTCTATTTGTCCGAAATCTCACCGAACGTTGGCTTAAATCTGCCTGTTTTTCTGATATAGCGCATGAGCGGCTTGGTGGCTTCTTCAGCTGTGAGGATGAATGAAATAGATGTTGCTTGACGGCGGAGAGTGTTGGCGAGTTGGTGACGTTCTTGTGCGTATTGCGGACAATCGAAGAGGTAGTGGTGGACGGTTTCGTCTATGCCGGGGCACATTGGGCAGTGTGATTAGAGTAGTTGTCGGAAATGAGCGTTGAATGTATGTTTTGGTGTGGTGCGGCAGTGATGCGTTAGTGGTGCGGCAAGTTGCGGCAGTGATGCGGCAAAATACCTGAGCCCGGGATTACTGATCACTATGATTAGCTCTTGAATAAGGACCATCATGATGCTGGCACCTACATCCAGTCGTACTCTCGACAAAGGCTGGTCGAATATCATATTAGAGGACGCCGTCTTGGTATCTCACATTGCAAATACCGCACACTTGTCCGGCACCGATTAGAAGGAGTCCTTTCGATCCCAACTGCTTCTCAAATCGATGGACGGGTTTCGCAGCAGATCAGTGCAGGCAGAGATGAGAGCGATGCTAAGGATTTACATGCTGTGGCACTCTGCGCATTTGCTCCTGATCCTTATGATACTTCCCACTGTTCTCGCAAACGGCAAGGGCACCTGCAGTTTCCAAGGGAGAGGATAGGTCGCATCAATCCTCGCACTTTCAACCTTCTTGGTTCGCCACGATTGTAAGTAGATGGGAGGGAAAGAGGTCGATGGATCCGCTGGCATATCGGTCCAATCTAGGTGCACCTCCAACCCACTTGGAATCTATTGATTGTTTTGTTAGAAAATCTACGGAACATTTTCCGAGGCACCACACCAAGGGCTGTGGACCAAGAATCTTCAAGGATGGCGCGATGAAGTCGGCACTGGCTTATGATAGACGTCAACGGTCGACAACTTGAATGTGTTGTAGTCGTGGTGCCGGCATTGAGCTGCCCCGAGATCGGCTACAAGGTATAAGCGATCAGCCTAGGACTGTTCCGGTCAGTTCATTGGAACAGGTAGAGTGAAGAGAAACTTGGAGCGCCGCAACAAACCTGGCAAAATCTCGCACGAGTCTGCTACGGATGTGGAGGTTTTTGCCACATCCGTCGCCGACATAATCTGCCTTTTTCTGCAGTGTAAACGGCCACACTACTAGGTCAATGGTCGCCATATATGAGCTGGAAGAAAAGGATGCATTCAAATCAGACAAAATATCATATACTGACTTGAGAGCAGACTTCTTATTGCACCAACCGCGTTCACAGTATCAATTCACTCTCATGGAAGCATATAAGTAATATTATTGGCAGGTCGTTGCAGGAGCCAGCTGCCAAGGACACCCCATGTACATGTCATCTAGGGTAACTGAGTAACTGAGAAGCTAATCGCAGAAATCAACATGGGATGTAAGTTCTCTGGTCTGGACTTAGCAATCCCATCTCCCTCGCCATTATCTGTAATGAAAGGAACTGGGAGTAGAATCGTGCAGCAAAGAGATCTCCCTCTGCAAACCAGAGTCCATCGTCTGGAGCAGAATGTCAGTATCACCGAGTCGCACAATCAAATCAACAGGGTACTGACGTCCGGTCGGCCTCCAAATACCTGCGAACTCATAATCACTATCTAATCCTCCGAGGTTATGGACGGTATCAGCGACCTGAGGCCCAAAAAGGTTCTCAGCAACTTGTTTGATTGTAGTTTTCGAGTACCTGTAAATGATGCGTTGGAAGTGCACGATCAGACGGATAGATATTTAAAAGACTTACCCAGTTGCGAAGATAACAAGGTCGGCCACTACTTGCGAACCATCGTCAAATACCAACCCGGAAGGGGAGAAGTGGGAAATCTCATGCCCGGACTTGACGGTGATCTGGTGGCTAGTAAGCAACATGCGTGGGGAACTCAGCAAAGTTAATAATACCTTGCCAGACGTGATGAGCTGTGCACAACCCCGGTCGATGTAAAAGCCACCTGGAATGCTGGTGAAAAAAATAGAACGATACGGAACAAACAAACTTACCTCGTCGAATTGAGAGACGGTGAAAGAAGTTGTCCTCAGGGCTGGGAAGGAGATATCCATGCCGGGACAAGTTCTCCCTGAGGTCCCTAAGGAAAAAGGGTGAGACGAAGAAATTACTTTCGAATGTTGCCAACGAACTGATCGATATGGGCATGCATCTCCATGGCGTTGTACTGGGAATCTTGCAGAGCTGACAAGGGGAGAGCGACATATAAGCGGTCGGCGATCTCTGTCGGAGGAACGTCCTGCCCGACATATCCTACGAGCTAAATCAATATAGATATCTCCAAAGCAAGTACACTGAGATTACCGGGAAGCAGGCTGTTGATCGTCTGGCGACTCACAACGGCGGTCGGGGAACGCTGGACAAGCACTGTCTGAGACCCATGATTTGCCATGTCCTGAGCAATATCGTGCCCAGAGCATGCTGCGCCGACGACAACGACTTTCTGCGCACCGACGCAGGAGGAGGACTTGTATTCGCTTGAATGGATGACAGAACCGAGAAAGGAGGTCTGGACGCAGAGGGTCAGCGTCGATGGAAAATTAAGTCCTGTTTACGTACTTTCCCCGGAATCGGAGGTGTAAACGGGAGTGCACCTCCCATCGTACCAACGCCTATTGCGCCAATAAGGTGCCGAGCCATCACAGTAATAGAGGCTTTCCCTGAAAGAGATACAGATAATGTCCAGGTACTTGACGAAGCATCATATGAAGTAGCGGAAATGTGCGCTGAAGTCAACACGTGAAGACCCAGAGTTCTTTGGTAATTTTCAAGATAGTCAGCAACGTCTCCGCAAGGGATATATGTTCCGGATCCCTCTGGGAAATCGACGAAGGGAAGATGATCTGCTGGCACGTTAGCATAGGACGAGGTTGGTAGTTCTGAAGCTGCACGTACTGAACGCTTTGGGAGTATTCGTCTCCAGTGAATCGTATCGAGAACGCCAACCATTGCCGATTCTGCCAGACCTCTCCAAGACAAGTGTAGAGATGCCGAGATTCTCCAAACGGGCGGCCACGGATAAGCCGCACTGACCTGCACCCACTACGACCGCTGTGTACCCCATTGCAGTGTCCCACTCGGCAGGACGACATAGAGGCGTGTGTGCATCAAAGCGATCGACCACACCGGACAACCGATCCATCATGGTCACGAAGGACCAAGCCTTCCATGAGGAGTCCTCGGTTTGAGTCAGAGTAAAGACGCCAGAGCATTGGGCTATGACTGTATGGAATTGAATGATTCCCTGGATGAACGTCTTTGTAGGACTAATGCGTCGATGACGAACACCTGGCAAGAGCCGGAACTGACTTGGCCGTGCAAGGGAAACGGGATCTGAGAAAAAATCCTGAATTTTTGGAAGTGAATGCAAGGTGCGAAAATCAGGAGTGAATGCCAAGAGATCCCGCCAGTAGCTATCGCTTGTAAACGAGCGCTTGAGAGTAAAACTGGGGCCGGATATGTCAGAAATAAATGCAGCCAGCCACGCGGAAGAGATAGCCTCTGATATATCCAACAGTAAGTGGACTTGAACTGATTTTGAAAGGCAGGCTTACCTGCAGACAACGGAACAGAGAATGTTTCTGCGCCAGACATGATCAATTGATTGAGCTTGAGTTCTGCAGTTAGAATCTCAGAAAGAAGGCTTTTATACATTTCGGTCCACACAGGCTGTACCTCCTTCCTTGTATTTCTTTGCGATTTAGCCACGGTCTCTTTCGTGCCCCTGTACCTGCGGCTGGGGACCTCAAGTATACGGATGCATGCATCCTTCCGATCCACAAGGCGGTAGGACATGACGGCCCTTGACTTGCTAGACAGCCGGCTTCTCCATAAACCGATTTCCTGAGCGTTTAAGTTGCACGCTAAGGAGATACGTACTAGTAACTGTTGTTGGCCGTCCTTTATACCTTCCTTTTGTGTTCTTTTCATAACGTCACAGTTGGACAGGAATCAGTACCGAGTACCGACTACTGGGACTTAATCTGCCTGCAAGGGTAGACGACATTGGGATTGATGCAGTGGACCTATACTTGTAAGGAGTTGAGTCACGGTTACGGTCGCAAGTAGGCATACACAAACAGGAGCCCATGGGCCATGGCGCATTTCGCGACGCGCGACTGCGATATCTTTTTGCTCCCAGTACTTACCCCGCTGGCCAGGGTCGAGTTTATGGTGAATCAACTGTCAAAGTTCAGTCAAATAAGGTGCAAGACCCTGAACATGTCAGTGCTTTAAGCTTCAACCTGTGTATAAACTTGACCGTGCCGACCACTGGTTCACTAACGTGTTGTGTACATTGCAAGTTGCAGTGTCGTTCAGAACGTTTAAAGCGCATCGCCTGCTCAGCTAGTTCTAGAACAACAGCCAAAGCGCTGCCCGTGAAATGAATGTCTACACATCGGCGGTTTCCGGATTGCTTCCACAAGCTAGATTTAAATCAAAATGCTTGACGCGAAATAGTTACCGGCGAGAATGATCGTTCAACTTACATAGTTACCTCGGTACCTGAGGGCTGAGCTTACACAGGAGTATAGATGCAGCCAAATAGATATGCACGAGCCCATTGTGTCTTAGATTTGAAAAGCCTGTATATGTAAAGTGGCGTCATACATCACATATGAAGTTGCAAATGTCCAGTTCAAGTCTGGTTGGGGCAAATGCTTGTTGAACCTGAATATAGACCGGACACGTTTTGACGAGTACATTGGCGAAGTTTGCAATACCACCGATGATGAAGATCTTGTCATCAGGGCGAGGAGGTGGGCGCGTGAGCAAGTCGACTATATATAGATTAGCAAAATGTGATTGACGAGTTGAAATACGCACAGGTTGTCTTGGCATATTCGAAAGTTTCACCCTCGCTTGGGGCACCAGAGTATTCAGTAGTTTCCGAGTTCATGTGCGAAGCCTGCTGCTGCGATGGCATCACTTTAGACGACGGATGCACCACCACCTGCGACAATTGTCCAAACACGACCGTTAGGGTTGAGGACGGTGAACTTGAGAGAAGCACCGATCGAAGCATCGAGTTTTTGAGCGTATGCTATGTCAAATCAGTACGACACAATGATGATCGGCAGAGTACGTACCCTCTTCCTTTGTGAAATCTCTACTGAATGGAGTGGGCCAAACTATAGGTGGACCATTGTCAGCGTTTACCTTGGAGCCAGTGGTAGGTGTAGCTGGAGCGGTCTCGTAGACTGTCAAGTCTCTTGGGACAGCCCACTTTGGACCGCAGATGCCCTGGGCTGTCTGGTCGAGCTTCGCAGCCATGTCAAGGTAGTGAATAGGGCCGTCATCAAGATAATTGAGGACGACCGAGGGGTCGGTCTCGAGGTAGGCAAAGTGGAGATCTAGGTAAATAGAGTAGAGAGGTCGATGTGACTCAAGGGTTGAGAGCTGTTTGCGCCCACCCAAAATTTACACAGCCACACTCAAATTTCAAATCAGAATTTGCCTCAGATCTGCAAGCAGTCAATGTCGAGACTATATAAGTAGTACTCGACTCCATCATCATACGGAACGACCTACAGCATACTCAGAACAATGCTCGTTGCAATCCTGCAATTTCATCGCTGACGCTTTTAGGTTTATTTGGATCTGCATTCACAGGCATCGATACATTCTAAATTTCTCATGGAAGCTACACGGCAATATCTGATCAGTGAGTCAGGAATGTACATTAATCTCCTTCAAGGAATTCATGGACTATTCATCGCGAACCTTATATGAAACGTGTGTAAGATTAGAAATGCAGCCGGTTATTTTACAATCGCCAACCCGGCGTGCTCTCATGGGGCCGTTTTCATTGTTCAAGAGTTCAAACCTTCATATCTAACGTTCGTTGGCGTCACGATGTACAGCAATCCATTATGTCCATAGAACTGCTACAACGTTCAGAACACCGCCATCGACATGCGATTTAGAGTGGCATGTACAGCTAACTAGCCGTATTATTGAGTTCTGTCAACGTGTCTGACCACCGACATTTCAAAACTTTTTTGATCATCGTCATGGCCGAGTTAAGCACATAAGCCTCACAATGGAGAGATGGAGAACAAAGAGGGGCGTTAAACTTACAGGTGGCTAGTGCAACTCATCGGATGAAGGACAAGGATCTGTGACCCCGGGCTTTATGGTGCACAGCTTCGCCAAAATGCACTTTGGGAAGGTGCCGGTGAGTGGTAACCGCGTTGTGATATCTACTGACTTACTCAACACGTGAGTGAAGAATCTCCCACTAGCAACGAGGAACTAATGGTGAAACATAGATTATCCCGGACAACTCGTTCCCGGATGCGAATGGCACATCTCACCGCTTGGTCGGTCCTACTTCGTCAATCACAATACAAAGGCCACATCTTGGAAAAAAACAGTGCATGCTCGAGGGTCATTCCAAAGTTATTTGGAGCCTTGTCCGCTTGGGTACCAGTTGCAATATACTGAGCGCGTCACGCGATGGTTCAATTCGTCAGTGGGCAATAGATGGAGATGCGCACATTAAAGTAGCTGCCGGTTGCATAAAAAATGTGAGTGTCTCTCGTAGTGAAACGAAGGAACTTAAATACAGAATTACACGGTCAGGGACCGGGGGCAGAACTACTTTCGGCCGAGTTTTGACCAAGTGCCTGGTAAGAACGCTGCACTTATGCAAATAAGATTTATGATGTTCTGACAATGATTATAATCCACCTCAGTGTTATGGCATTCCAGTTTGTCTGTCGTGATGTCAGGTTAGAGGTAATACTGTACAGTACACTATTGGCTCAGATGCTCTTCTGCAAGCGATCACTTCTCCTTTGTCAGGAACAACTCGTATTTCGAGAAAGCAGGCGTCGCATCAGTAAACCTTTGTCTGATCAATCTGGCCTTTGCTTCGCTTCTGGGTGAGATCGAACAAGCAAACGGACGAGGTCTGAAGACAAGACCCTAAAGAGTTTGTTTGGGCTGATCCTTAACAACGTCGATACAGCCATGGTACACACCTCCTCATACGCATCGATATCGACAGGGATCGGTGTCTTCGTAACTGGATCAATGGCAGCAGCAAAATCAAACGCCCAGACCAACGTGGCAATGGTGAACGCCTGCTTGATTGTTTAGCCCAGAAATCGGGCGTTAGAGCGTCACATACCAGGTTTGTGTTGACTAAATTCATCCCAGGGCAGAGTCTCTGCACGACATAATGAGATACATATCGTGTACCTCCAGCCCAAAAGACTTACTCTTCCGCTCCCAAAGGGTATACTTGCGCGCCAGTCTTTGCTATCCACACCAGGTTTTGTCCCGTGTTCGGAGAGGAGGAATCTCTCTGGTCGAAAGACCTCAGGTTCGTCGAAGACCTCTGATAATATTTGAGCATGCCTCCCTTACATGTGAATTACGACAAACTCACCCGGATCATGCAAAATGCCCCCTACTCGATGGTCAGCTTGACAGGTTGGAGAATGCGAATGTTACACATACAAGCATTTATGAAAACGGTTGTACCTTTAGGGATAACATAGCTTCGATACTGGCATAACACATTGGTCAACGTGGGCGAAAACTGTGACTGGTGAATCGCGACTTACTTCTTGAGTCTCTAGCAACGCGTGAGGCATTCCAAGCGGTGCCATAGGTTTCAATCTATGTACCTAACAGACTGTCAGCCTGATTTACCATTGCTAATCTAGACAAGAATTCACCTCTCTTAGGATGGCACGGACATACGGAAGCGATGCAATGTCATCCATTGTGGGTGGTCGCTCGTCCGGTAGAACGGTGTCGATCTCATTTTGAGCCTTTCGCAGTGTCTCGGGGAAGGCAACAAAACATAAAATGAGGGAAGAAATGAAGGACCCTGAAGAATGGGATGCTTCGAGCACGATCGCACCTAACCAGCTACAGCGCGAGATGAGAGTTCCTGAAGATCTGATTCAGAGTTTGCACTCACGCGGCAGCATCCTTCGACATCCCGAGCTCTTCTTGACGCTGAATGACTTCTTCCATAAAACAACCAGTACCTTCTCCTCTGGCGAGCCTTGTTTCTGCCTCTTCCAATAACCCAAAATATAATTGACGTTGCAGCGTCCTCGCCTCCCTGCATATTCTTTTCCATGGCGCCCACCGTTCCGGGACATATTTGAGAATAGGGAGGAGATCAACGGGAGGTCCTTCAGCAGACACCACCCGCACGGTGAGTCTCACACCTTCATAAAAAATTCTTTCTTCCTCCGTGTCAGGGCGTGGGCAGCGTTTCCCAAAAGCTATAGACAACAGTATTGAGAATGTGTAACGATCGATGTGCTTTTCGAAGTTCTATGAAGAGATGAGAACGCCTAATAGATTATGGAAATAAGGGAACCTCACTTGCGGTGAACGGAGTAAATCGAATAGAAGTTGTGAACTCTCTGCTACCGCGACTGGTAGGTGTTTATTCACACTTTGTGGGGAAAGCAGGGCCTGTAACGCCTTTCGGCCCATATGCCAGATATCCGTCGCTGACGACTGATAAAAAAAATTGAAAGGATGCTGAGGGAAAAATAACGTACTCGAATCTGCTTCCGCGATAAAATACCCATCTGTTATGAGACTTCCAGTGTAAAATGACGGACGACCAGAGGTTTCATTGCTCCGCTTATCCATGAATTCTTTGAGAACTGTGGCATCCGATACCACAACAACTGTGCCGTGACCAATCTTCAACTAGGAACACTATCAGAGGAAACGGCAGAAATGTTTCTGTAGCAAACGTATCTTACGGAAAAAATGCCACCATATTGTCGAGCCCATTCGGTAAATCTAGAATGAATGATGTCTGTAGCGTTATGAATGCGAGGCAAATTTGACGCCTTACTTAAGTTGGGCGAACTTGGGCGGGACCATGAGGGCATTTCCGAGTATGGGGACAGTCGGAGGACCAGGAGGTAGGTGCTGCTCGCGCTTTCCAATGCTTAGTAACTTGGTAACCATCCATATTATACCAGTGGTTAGGAGGAGGGAGAACAACGATACGGAATCCATTGTGTTGCTGCTTCTACTGAGTGGCACTGGCAGTGATGTGAAAGGGCAGGGTACAATGGTTGATGGTATCTGATGAGATGGGACAATGCCGTCTAGCACGATGTGTCCAGGTGACTTGTCCCAACCTGCCGAATTGGATTATGATACTGTATATTTGTCCGTACCATTTTGAACATTGCTGACTTGCCATAAGGATCTGGAAAAATCTAGAGAGGTTTCGATACGTACGCATCAGCCGAGCTGGCAGGAGCTAAATTGGAACAAACATCCTGAAACCCGTTGTCTGCCAAGTACAGATCAGAAACATCTTTGAAATCGAACATGTTCTTATTGGCAATTCTACCCATAACCCCGCCAACTTTCTAAATTCTTGCGGAAACTCACTCAATCTGACGTCGAAGAATGGACTTTGGAAGGAGAACGAAGTCAGGACTCGGAGGTATAAAGCAATGGGTCATGGACTGATAGCCGAGTTAGACTCATCCCTCCGAAGTCAACCTATCTGAAGAGGCACTGAGGCAGTCTGTTATTCGCGTTTTCGCGTGAGAGTTATAGTCGACTTATGAATGCCACATCAATATCAACACGAACAAACAGTTCACGAAGTCACCTGTATGGAGAAGGCCTGCGCACACTACATTGGAGTTGATTATGCTGAAGAAAGTTTCTGCCTCATAAATCTGTGTCCGCGGAAAGTGGACAGTTGAAACGTGTACCATATCTCATTTTGGGTGACAGCGCACAATGAGATCACCCTCGGGTATGGTGCGACCAGTGGTAAACCCAAAGTAAGTACCAGGTAGTAATGATATGATAATATTATGGACTTTCTCTGACAGCACAGAGCAGACCTGGGAGCCGAGTGAAAAACTGCAGTAAATCTGGTTTCATTCGCATGCCAAAGGGATTTGATCAAACGTACCGGTGTCCATTAACAAAAGCCCACTCAACTATTGGTACTGCTTAAACGTTGTTACAGGCCGCATCTGTTCATGAACATCACGTGATTGTAATTACATAACAATCTGAGTCTGAACTTCGTCATCGTTCCAGCACTGACTCCAATACCACGATTATCTTGAGCGCGAGTTCTTGCGCAATGCACACGAGCTACGAGAGATCGTATCGATATCTCCAATGGCATACTTGAAGTGGTATCTCTCTTCGTGGAAATTGAGGTCAGCTGCTGGGAGCCATCGTCCAGGTTTAGGCTCAATTGAATCGTGACTCGAGTCAACGTTTGATTTTCATGTCCGAGTCAGATGGTCGATTACCCTGACCAACAGCATCTCCAAAGGTCTGTTGTACACGTGTAATTCGATATGCATCCGCAACTGACGACTTTAATTGAACAGACTCACAGAGTCTTGACAAAAATCGATGCTTTACCCCCTGCAGAAGTCGGTATTATAACGGATACGGGCGGCCAAAAGGTTTTTGTATTTTCGCTAGAAATCTTTCGTTTCCCAGTATAGACTTCACTTTGCGTTTTTCACTTTAGTTGTTAGATTTTCGAGGACATTCTGATCCTCGGATATCTGACCGTCCGACCCCATCCGCGCCAGCAGCATAGTTGTTCCATCCCTCTGATAGCACACATGGGGATCATTGCTCACCATATACAGAAAAGTTAGAACTGGCGAGCCCTATGATGTTGTGATTCATTCTGAGAATACTCGGTGCTTCGGGGATCAATGGTTATCGCACTTCTTCTCTCTGATGCCAACAAGCCCCTACGCTATGCAGACCTTAGTCGAGTAGCCCTTCAGTGTCTTTATGCAACACACTCGATGTGTAAAGCCCTTTCTACCCTCCAATCCGCAATAGCATGTAGGGGACTAGAAACACCCACGTCGTTCACACCGCCATCTCGGCTTCTATCTGCCTTTGATGCGCACGTTGGTGACTGTTCATGTCAAACGCGAGCGCAGATGCTCTGGGAGCTTGTCCAATTCTACAACATACCAGAGAAGAAAGACGCACTCGATCGCGCAATCACAATGCTGCAAGAACTTAGGATTCAGGCCACATTGCTGCTTCAGGAGATCGAGCTCAGTCACGGGAAACCGCGCATTCCCACCCTCAACGCACTCAGAACTCATTTGAGTGTATGGCAGCGCATCGGCTTCACGCGTTTTTTAAATCATTTCTCTGGGCCCTCTGACTCTCCGCCTGAAACAGACGGCGCCCCGCAGACTGGCGCTGCTGGAGATGTGCTAGTTAGTAAGTGTATCTTGCCAGTTAGAGTGATGTACCATAATTTGCTCAATGCCTTGTTCCCAGGCCCGACGCCTCCACCAGATTCTTCAGACAAACGCTACCAAATCACAGTTGGACCAGAATGGGACACCGACAACCTTTTCCTCGTCGCGCGTTTCTTGACACTCTGTCTTCTTCTGTCTGAATGCAAGATAGCTAAGTTAAAATCCGATCCCCCTACCCGCGTGATTGTTCGCGTCGATCTTCAATTAATGTATGCGAACATTGGACGGGAGCTTGAAGCTTTGGGCCTGTTGCCGGCACGGAGGAATGCGAAGCCTTGTGATGGCAAGGTGAAGTTGCACGCGCAATGCGATGCTATGCAGGGCTACATATCCATTGTTACGACAGATTGGGTGAAGAAAGCTGTTCTTAGACTCGGACTTCTTGACTTTCACCGGAGGTATGTGATATTGGTGTGGTTTCAGGGACTAGGCATTCAAACACCGTGTGTTTAGTTTGTCCGAGGGATTGATAGTCGCAAATAGTCGCCACATTTCGTGCGTTGCGACGTATGCATCCACGTTGCTTGTACGCGCGTTGTGGTTGACATTGAACACGCCTTTACTGGTTGCGATTCAGCGGTTCTGTTCGCATGGCGGTGAGTAATAATACACGAATGTAAACGAAATTTTGTTAATAATATCGTTACCTTGCTTGATACCAGAATTCCACAATATCTATTGCCGCATCACCAGGAATCCCGCATCCCCAACCCCCTCTTTCTGCGAGATGGGAGAAACCAATTGGTTCGATGTTACACTTGTTTCCGATGAAGACATCATCGCATCACCGTGGGCCATACTACCGCACGTCATCATGATATGCATGTCAGGGGAAGGCACGATTGACGACTTCCGCCGTCTTCTCCTCGATAGAAATCAAGGGAACTGGCGTCCTAGTCAACCTCATAATGGGACGTGCCAAGAGATTGTTGACTACGTCAACAAGCTCAAGGAGCTCAACTTCGCCCGCTTTATGGCGCACTGCTCTGCGCACCATGATCAGTTTCCGTTCACTTTGCCGGATGATGAGGATGCGTTGGAGAGGGTATCTGACCTGATACAGAAAGGGCTGGGCAAGAGAGCTAGTGACACCTTTAAGGGGGCCAGGGATGGGGCTGATGACTTTGGAACAGGGAGATCTATGAATATGTTCACGATCGAACACTTGGTCGTGGAATTTCCGGGCATGATATTGAAAGAACTGCAGGGAAAGCCTACCGTTTATGGTTGTAGACTTGAATCTTGATAAGCTCGCACCAGTAAATTGTACTAGTAGTATCTTGACTTGAACATAGCTTATTATCGCCAGCACTTGGACACATATGGGAGGTTGAAACGCACCTGACATCTATTTCATCAACGCTCATGTTATTGCCGCGCTACTACAGATGAAGAAACAACTTTAGAAATTTGTATGTTACTGTAATGTTCTTCACTCTATCTTTGAACATTCTGTTCTCATTCGACACGCAAGTCACTGATATGTAGCATAGCGGCCGGTCGCGAGCGCTTCCCACGCTCGTCGCCGTTCTTCAGAAGTTCTATATAATATCATTATATTACTATATGTTATTGGGAACGATGACTATGCTGGCGCAGATGAGGCCTGAGGTCGGGACGGTCGGATGACCATCGAATTACCTTGCTTGACAAGGTTTCCTACGACCCCCATAATCCAACTTCCGACCGATGACTCAGGCCCCCCTTTGTCTGACAAGACTCTCACTCGTCACAACTTAATGTTTGGGTCAAGCAAGGTTTCTGCCGACGCAGGCGGCAATTTACGAGTCAACATTTAGTTTTAAATTCCAGGTGGCACTCGATGATACTACCACCTCTCCGATCATCCAGTTTCAGGAGGATTCCGAAAGTGCACGTCGACAGCATCACGGCAATAGGGATCAGCCAGCAAAGGTTGGATCGATCTAGGTATGTAATATGGCGGATGACGAGAATTTCTCAAGCGTTGCTGACGCATTACAAGCTGGCCTTGAGAATTTGGGGAAGTGGAGCCGGAAAACGGATGAGACGGACGTGTACTCTATTTGCTTGGGTGCGTCTCCATATACTCAATAATTCTATCATCGACTGATACATGCATTGAATAGCTCTAGATCCTAACTACAAACTCGAGTATGCACGAGCACAATGGGACGCAGACGCCTTTGATGAAGGGAAGAAAAAGCTTGAAGCTGCAGTAAGTCGGGCTACCATCGCAGTCGAACGTTGTTACTAACTGTTCAACAGTTCGACTACTATCACGCGCCGGTTACACCTCAGCCCTCACCATCCGAACCCATTCCACCAGCATCCAGTCAACCACCCACACAATATGGGCATTCGTGGATGCGATCTGCAATTCTAGCTCGCCAATCATCTGAAAAAAGCATCGCTGATCCACGTCACGAACTCGCCCTATACTTAACTAGCCCATTGGAGGAGGTGGCTGATGTGGTTCGCTGGTGGGGGGGTAAGTACTCTATATTGTATTGACCGGCCTTTGTTGATGTGCTTGCTCTAGCATCATTCCACCATGTACCCCACCCTTTCACGCATGGCAAGAGATTACCTTGCTATTCAAGGCTCTTCAACGCCGTCAGAACGGGCCTTCTCAAGTGGTGGCATGACAGATGATAGTCGACGCAACCGGCTTACACCTCAGGTCTTCGAGGCACTGCAATTGTTGAAGAGTGCCTACCGTAATGGGCATCTACAGGCTGCAACTGATGCAGCAGCGCATGTCGAGCCTGATGCTAGTGTAGATGCTACTGACAATGACGGCCATGTTACTGACATGTAGAGTACATGTTGTTTTGATATTGCTGCAATCCCAAGTCTCTTTCGCATGCATTGAGTCGGAGACGTTCAGCGTCTGAACGCCAAACTGAACGTGAACTGAACGTCCCGAACGCGTTTGACTACGTTCGGTCCAGCGTTCAGCGAAATCGCCGAACCGAACGCAACGGGACTCCAGTTCAGCATTCGCCGATTTTCCTGGTGAAACGGACTGAACCGTAGTGTTCCGTGGAAAACTATTTAGTTATCCACCAATGCAGATATCCGCCTAGTTATCCACGTGGATAACTTGGTGGATAACCCAAGGCCAAAATTCATAGGTGGATAACGTGGATAACTCGGAAAATCGTGTAGGTGTATGGGATTGTATTTTTCAATCGCGAACTTCGAACTGACGAGACAGCATATGAATGGTGGAGTTATCTGGACAAAGACCGATCTGGGGATGCTCAACCACTTGCAGTATGTCGGAAACTGATTATATTGTCTCGAAGCTCATCATAGTCCAACCAGAGGCTCGCTGTCCGGATTTTCTCGCTTGTACCCAACTCAATGGCTGATGAGCGGACTGGCTCAACATTCACATGGCTCAACTCACCGCTTCGCAGTCGGCAGCAGGTGAAAACACTCGTTAGGACAGTCCAAATCCGTAGTTGGTACATTTTTCCTTTTGTTTGCAACTCATGGACCTCACTGCTAGGCACCGCCTCCAAAAAAGAAACCAACTGTCAAATGGCGCGATATGACATCGACCATTTTTAGTGGCAAGCACAAGCGAGGGAAGGGAGACAACGACGATGACAACAGTGAAAATTCTGACGTGGACGATGATTTTGCAGATGAAGCACCTAACGAGCCAGACATGGACAACGACGACTCAGAGTTGGATGTCACTGACCCCGACGATATAGCTGAAGATGGCTCGAAAAAGGTGGATTCTTTTGACGGCGAGTCTTTTGATGCTGCCAGTGTCATAAATCTCGATTCCAGGAGGCTAGTTGATGTGCTTGCTGACAAGGATCTGGCACCTGCAGCACCGAGGAATACCATCACTCTTCCACCGGCAAGCACTGTTGTGCAAGACAAGGTCTTGACCGAAGCAGACTGGGACATGACATAGAATATAGGATAGATCTATACTTGTAAATCGACCGAAATTTTGCGAAACGCATGGTAGAATGTAAAATTTTGCAGCGCCCAGAACCATCGGGCCGATTTTGCCGGCGGTGGATATCCACCATATTCACCGGTGGATAACTGACACTGTTTTTGGCCTGGTGGATATCCACAGTGGATAACCCATCAGACGGTTATCCACGGAACACTACTGAACCGGACTTTTCCATCACTAGTACTATGGGCACACTGAGCGCGCTCCTTATACAGATAAGCTTTAATCTGTACACTTGTTGGGCAAATCGTAGAAAAACATCTAACGGCCAATTCAAGCTAGATTTTGCCAGCAATGCCATCTTTCGCCTCTGGTTTCCCTAACTGCTGGCTTCAGAATCACCATACCTGAAAGATTGTTCTCACATCGTCATCATCATCATCATCATCATCATCATGCTCGACCTGCCGGGTCCTGGCCAACTCCATCGTGATTATGATCATTTCAAGCAACTCTAGAGCCAGATCCGAATGACAAAGCTGATTTTTATGGCCTAGTAAATGTTTAAAAGGGCGGGCTGCAACCAAAGATGTAAGCTAGTTTCATACTTGACCATCTAACATTGCTATGTCGAATAATCCAATCCCCATTGTTGATTTCGCGCCGTTCTTAGACGGATCTGCGAAACAGCAGACTGCAGATCAGCTCCTCGGGTCGTTCAAATCGTATGGATTCTTATACCTCACGAATTTCGGTATATCGAACGAAGAGGTCCAAGAGATGTTTGATTTGGTGGGTTAACAACCGCCTCCCTAGCTAGGACTTCTAACATATGAGTCGTGCGATAGTCGAAGCGTTTTTTTGCTCTTCCGCACGAAAGCAAAATGCTCGCGCCTTATCCAGAAGCTAGAACCCATCATCGAGGTTAGATAATTCCATTGCCGAATACTAAGATTAGGTGTTTAGTCACTTTCATCTCTCAGGTTACTCCTTCCCCGGCCGGGAGAAACTCCCGGATGCGGGAGATGTTGCTGAAATGCCACTCCCAAGCGTGAAAGAGACGTTTGACATCGGGCGTGAGGACGATGATTCAATGCTAAACGTCTGGCCGCCCGATCACATCCTCCCCGGCTTCAAGGAATTGTGTTTGGCGTTCTATTGGGTCAGTGTGTCCACTTGGGCCAGAACCCTTGTACCTTTATTCTGACGGAGAAGAAGAAATGCCATGAAGTTGAGAAGAACATCCTTCGCGCGCTCGCGCTGGGTTTCGGCTTGGAGGAGGAGTGGCTTGTGAGGCATCATAGGATGCCAGATAATAATCTGAGACTGCAACACTATCCCAGGTAAGCTTTTTCGTTGTCGATCGACTGATGTGAGCTTGAATCACGATACTAGCATCCCCCTCGAATCTGTCCTTACGAAGAAGGTTGCACGGATCTCGAATCATACAGATTATGCTTCGCTTACAGTGAAGTCTCCCCTTTCCTTTTTTTCCCTTTCACATCATACATCGAGGCTAACCCAAGGCAGGTCCTCTTTCAAGACAACGTGGGGGGCCTCGAAGCCGAGGATCCGAATGAGCCTGGGAGGTATTTGGTGTGTAACCGTGAGGTCGCCTCCATACTAAAGTCAAAACTCATATATGGTTGAAGGCGGTATCGCCAATTCCGAACTCGGTCGTTGTTAACGCAGCGGATTTCTTGCGGCGATGTGAGGGTTTTTTTGGTTTTGCTGGGACCATATAGCTACCAATGTGCTGATTTGACTTCTGTAGGGTCGAACGACGTGATACGGAGCCCGATGCATGGCGTCCGCGCACCGCAAGATATGGTAACGGAGGATGGCATGCTTCCAGATCGATATTCTATCCCCTACGTGAGTTTATGCCCGCTAATCCTCCGTCCTTTAGCTGATAAGTCGACATATATATATCAGTTCTGTGCTGCCGTGCGCCATCTTTCCCCTTTTTATGCCAGATTTGTTGATTGACGGTTGGCATGTACAGGACTTTTCCACAGTCGTTGATACGATCCCTGGTACATGGTCAGCAGATTATCCCAAGAAGTATGAACCCATGTCGGTGAGTTGGTTTGCCTTCCAGGTGGCAAATGAAAATTACATATATTGATGTCAATGGTGACGGAATAGGTGGGAAAGTATATGTTGAAGCGGCTTGCCGATGGTTATTAAAGCTGGTGAAAGGTGCTATGGGTTGACATAAGTATGGTAAATATCTGTTGGTCCGAATGTTTATGTAAGAATGACTCTGAGCAAGGACTCGAGCTTCAGCACCACTGCACGTCCGACTAAGCGTCTCAGACACTCTTAGCTTTGTCGAAATTCTGAGTCAAGCTTGTCATATAAGGACTTGCATTACAAGTTGTTACCGTTCATTTGCTTACCCTCGTTAGTTAATAGTAGCATAGCATTCGCTCTTTGTTTTTCTATTTTCATTTCACTACCGCGCGCAGCGCCCACTCTATTCGCGTCACATGAAGACGGTTTTAATTTGAAGTATATGGTCGGGGCGTAGAGAATATACTATCCTTACATCATTCATGGACGTGCAAGTCACTGATAGCATAGCGACCGGTCGCGAGCGCTTCCCACGCTTGCTCGTTCGTCACCGTCGGGTTCTTCAGCCTGTATATAATATGTTATTGGGGAACGATGACTATGCTGGCGCGGATCATCGAGGTCGGACGGTCGGATGACCATTCAACCCTTTGAATTAACATTTAGTTTTAAATTCCAGGTGGCACTCGATCATACCACCTCTGCAGATCTGATCTCCGGAGGATTTCGAAAGTGCACGTCGACGACGGCATGGGGATCAGCCAGCATATTTACAAAGGATTGGATCAATATAGGTATGTACCATGGGCCCGGCACACTGAACGGGCTCCTTATACACTTATTGGGCAAATCGTAGAAAAGCCTCTAACGGTGAAGCCAGATTTCGCCAGCACTACCATCTTTTCCCCTCTGGTTTGCCCTAACTGCTGGCTTCACCATACCAGAAAGATTGTTCTCACATCATCATTATCATCATCATCATGCTTCTCGAACATCGACCTGCCGGGTCCTGGCCAACTCCATCGTGATTATGATCATCTCAAGCAACTCTAGAGCCAGATCCAAATGACACAGCTGATTTTTATGGCCTAAATGTTTAAAACGGCGGGCTGCAACCAAAGATGTAAGCTAGTTTCATACTTGACCATCTAACATCGCTATGTCGAATAATCCAATCCCCATTGTTGATTTCGCTCCGTTCTTAGACGGATCTGCGAAACAGCAGACTGCAGATCAGCTCCTCGGGTCGTTCAAATCGGCTGGATTTGTCTATATCACGAATTTCGGTATTCCGGAGGGAGAGGTCCAAGATATGTTTGACTGGGTGGGTCAGCCTCCTCTTCACTCAGAATTTCTAACTTACACCACGAAAGCTGAAACGCTTTTTTGCTCTTCCTCATGAAACCAAAATGCTTGCGCCTCATCCGGATTCCGGAAGCCATCATCGAGGTTAGATCTTTCATTATTGGCTGCAAGTTCACTCGCCTTCACATATGTCATCTCTCAGGATACTCTTACCCTTGCCAGGAAAAAGAAATACAATACTCGGATTCTGGGGACGAATTTACCATTGCACCACCAAGCATGAAGGAGTCCTTTGAATGCGGGAGCGAGGATAACGACTTCATGCCAAACATCTGGCTGCCCGAGGGCGTCCTCCCTGGGTTCAATGAAGCGTGTTTGTCCTTCTTTTGGGTGAGTGTGTTCCATCGCGGTTAAATTCAACGTACGTGAATTCTGATGGAGTATACAGAAATGTCACGAAGTCGAACAGAATATCCTCCGCGCCCTTGCACTGGGTTTTGGCTTGGAGGAGGCGTGGTTCTTGAAGTATCACGAGACGGCAAATAGTCAGCTGAGGTTACATCACTATCCTAGGTAGGGGTTTCACTCACTCACGACCGGTACGAAATTGAATAGTGCTGTATAACGCAGCATATTCTCTGAATTGCTCGAGACGAACAAGCTGACAAGGATATCGGCTCATACAGATTTCGACACGCTTACAGTCAGTTTCTCCCTCTGTGTCATCTGTTCAAAGAAGCGAAACTAACCCAAGGCAGTTCCTCTTTCAAGGAGAGATAGGAGGACTCGAAGTCGAGGACCCGAATGAGCCTGGGAATTATGTGGTCCGTACTCTTGTTCGAGCCCACTTCCACACCAATGTCATAACTAATATGGATGTGTAAAATATTTGTAGCCAGTGCCTCCCATCCCCAACTCGATCGTTCTCAATGCGGGTGACTTTTTGCGGCGATGTAGGGCCCTTCTGCTCTGCAACTGTTGGACTGGTACCATTGTGTTGACTTGTGAATTGTAGGGTCGAATGATACGATACTGAGTACAATGCACCGCGTTGTAGCACCGCCGGGTGTGGCAGCAAAAGATGGCCTGCTTCCGTCCCGGTATTCTATGCCCTACGTAAGTTCCCCCCCCCCTTGATCTAGATATCGTGACTAGATTGATCTCATACAATGTCTACAGTTCTGTGCCCCCGTATGTTTTTCCACTTTTCCATCGTACCTACGTCTATTCATGGGTGGCTATAGGACATGTCTACAATTATCGACGCCATACCAGGCACGTGGTCGGCAGATCAGCCCAAAAAGCATGAGCCTGTCTCGGTACGTTGCCTCGTCAAAGTCGAAGTGCTTGGATACTGAGATTGGTGTAGGTGAAGGAGTATGCAATGAAGCGGTTTGCCGCAAATTATTAAGGTGAAGGGAGGTGAAGGGACACGGATATAATGGTGATTATCTATCTCCCAGGCGCTTCGAGGGTCGGGATACTTGTGAAAGGAGTTATGCATTTGTCATGCTATGTATATAAATTGTATTCAAGAGTATCGGTATTCTCAGAGGCGAAGTCCATGTGTGTAACCTAATCAGTAAATTTCAAGAAGTTTGATGCTCATCGTCATCAGGGAAAACCTCCCGCAGTGCTAACTTGGATACAATTAGGCAAAATACATCTAAGTCAAATTAAGCTATCACATAAACTTGATATTATTCATAACATACAAACTATTAAAAGCTGTCGACTAAGGATGTAAACTGTGAGATTGATCCACTTGGTTTCCAATATCACCCCTTGACCATCTAACACTGTTATGTCGAGTCATTCAATCCCCATCATTGATTTCGCTCCGTTCTTAGACGGATCTGCGAAACAGCAGGCTGCAGATCAGCTCCTCGGGTCATTCAAATCGTATGGATTCGTCTACCTCGCGAATTTCGGTATATCGAACGAAGAGGTCCAAGAGATGTTTGATTTGGTGGGTTAACAGCCGCCTCCCTAGCTAGGATTTCTAACATATGAGTCGCGCGATAGTCGAAGCGCTTTTTTGCCCTTCCGCACGAAAGCAAAATGCTCGCGCCTCATCCGGACTCTGGAATGCATCATCGAGGTTAGATAATTCCATTGCTGAATACTAAGATTAGGGGTTTAGTCACTTTCACATATGTCGTCTCTCAGGTTACTCCTTCCCCGGCCAGGAGAAAGAATCCCAACTCCCGGATTCGGGAGATTCTGCCACTGAGGCTGACATACCACTCCCAAGCGTGAAAGAGTCGTTCGACATCGGGCGTGAGGACGATGACTTGATGCCAAACATCTGGCCGCCCCATCACATCCTCCCCGGCTTCAAGGAATCGTGTTTGGCGTTCTATTGGGTCAGTGTGTCCACTTGGGCATGAACTCTTGCACCTTGATTCTGACGGAGAAGAAGAAATGCCATGAGGTTGAGAAGAACATCCTTCGCGCGCTCGCGCTGGGTTTCGGCTTGGAGGAGGAGTGGCTTGTGAGGTATCATGGGATGCCAGATAATGGGCTGAGACTGCAACACTATCCCAGGTAAGCTTTCATTGTCGATCGACTGATGTGAGCTTGAATCACGATACTAGCATCCCCCTCGAATCTGTCCTTACGAACAAGGTTGCACGAATCTCGAATCATACGGATTTTGATACGCTTACAGTCAAGTCTCCCCTTTCTTTTGTGTCCTTTCACGTCATACATCGAGGCTAACCCAAGGCAGGTCCTCTTTCAAGACAACGTGGGGGGCCTCGAAGTCGAGGATCCGAATGAGTCTGGGAGGTTTTTGGTGTGTAACCGTGAGGTCACCCCCATACTAAAGTCAAAACTAATTTACTGTTGAAGACGGTACCGCCAATTCCGAACTCGATCATCGTTAATGCAGGGGATTTCTTGCGGCGATGTGAGGGTTCATTTAGTCTTGCTGGGACCACTGTATGGCTACCAATGTGCTGATTCGACTTCTGTAGGGTCGAACGACATGATACGGAGCACGTTGCATCGCGTCCGCGCACCGCCGGATGCGGTCACGAAGAATGGCATGCTTCCAGATCGATATTCTATCCCCTACGTGAGTTTATACCCGCTAATCCTCCGTCCTGTAGCTGATACGTCAACATATATATCAGTTCTGTGCTGCCGTGCGCTATCTTTCCCCCTTTTATGCAAGATTTGTCGATTGATGGTTGGTATGTACAGGACTTTTCCACAGTCGTTGATTCGATCCCTGGCACGTGGTCAGCAGATTATCCCAAGAAGTATGAGCCCGTGTCGGTGAGTTGGTTTGCCTTCCAAGTGGCAAATGGAAATTACATATTGATGTCAATGGTGACGGAATAGGTGGAAGAGTATGTGTTGAAGCGGTTTGCCGCGGATTATTAAAGCTGGTGAAAGGTGTTATGGGTTGACATAAGTATGGTAATTTAAATTATCTGTTTGTCCGAATGTTCCAAAGGTTTATGTAAGAATGAGCAAGGAGCTTGTCAACTGTCAGTGACTCAGCGCCAGCACCACTGCACGTCCGACTAAGCGTCTCAGACGCTCTTAGCTTTGTCGTTTTATTCGAAATTCCAAGTCGAGCTTGTCATACAAGGACTTGCATTACAAGTTGTTATCGTTCATTCGCTTACCCTCGTTAGTAGCATAGCATCTCGTCACATTCGTTCTTCGTTTTTCTATCTTCATTTCACTACCGCGAAACTCTAGTTTCCATCGAATCCAGCAGCGTCTGGGCCAATTCAAGCCACACCTCTACCGGACGCTCCTGCGGCCAAACCAGCAGCCAGACAGCCACGCTTCTCAGTAACGCCCAGCAGCTAATCCGGGTCCCGCACCAAGTCCCAACACAGCCTGAGCTACAAAGAGGGAGTATTGACCCGCCAGCGGCAAACTCTTTGACAGCAGCGCCCATGCTATTCGTGTCATCTGAAGAGGTCGAGAGCCGCAGCTAAGAAGGAGGAAATCAAAGTTATCCTGCCGGATATCGTGCCAGGATTCAAAGCAAATCCTCTCGACGCTGGTGAGGATGTCTCCTTGTCTCTGTGGGGAAACGGTATCGTTTTTGTTGCATGCACTCTACTCTCCCAAGTGAATGCACAGTTAACGCGGCTGAGATAAAGTTCAGCGATGTTGGAATAGAGCGGCAGGCTCTGTTGATAGAGGCAACACAATCATTATGTCAGGCTGTAGGCTGAGCGGTGCCGGTGAACGTTCAAGCCATAGGCCCATAGAGTGGCTCAAGCTATATGCTATTTTTATGCTCGTCAGAACTTGCCCGCGCAGAAGGGGCAGCAGCAGCTGCACAACATACGAATGGCAATGAGGCTGGTAGTTCGACGCAAGCAGGTCAATCTCTGGTTGTGCTGGACACAAGTGTCTCAAGGACGCCCGACAGAAACGCAACTAAGTCCATCTCTAGTTGTTCCAGGCACACAAGTGTCTCGAGGGCAACAAACAGGAATGCAGGGCGCAGATGGTGGGACGGGATTCTTATGAAGTTAGGTGCTGCGGATTTCTTTTTTAGTTGTGGTCGTCCTTACTCGCATCAGGCATGAGGTCATCCACTAATTAAACTGGTTGCTTCGATGTGTTTTCTCTTGAAGTCGTGAGCTTTACAGACTATTTCGCACCTTGCCATACACTTCGTGAACATTGCCACCCAAGATTTTTTTCCCTCTCGTGTACTTTTACAAAGTATTTGGCAGGTTGTGTTTTTTACTTGTGATAATTTTCTTACTGTAAGAGGCACCAGCGCTTTTTGTGACCTATATTGACAATGTCAACCTACGACAGTTAAGTCGACCGATGCTGGCTTGCACCCGATGAGAAAGGTAACAAAGGCTGCATATACATTCAAGTGCCAATTATAAGGCAAAACGTGCCTAGTATTTGATGTGTAGATTCAGTGCTATAACGCAAATGAAAAGAACTGCACTTACTCGGAAGTAGCTTCCCTTCAGTTGTGTCATAGGAACGGCGATGAAAAACATGCCAACCACAAGCCTATAAAAACCGTCAGACTCTTCGAGTGCGTCAAGCGATATCACTTGCGCTGTTTCAACACCAAACACCGTCAATGCTCCAGATTTTGTAGCCCATGGGACTTGGAAATATGCGACTGCGAAACCTAGGCCGCAATCGTGAACGTTGAAGAAATCATGCGCCGTTGTAACTCACCGCCCACTGATCTTGCAAAGTTTAAGAGGGCACTGACTTCGCCCTAGAGGGGAAGGACGTGTCACTGAAATGCAAATAAATATATATGCGTCACTCACTGCCCTGCGAGGGAAGCAGTCATTACAATATGCGTCTAATAATATTCCTTGAGTTTTCCTGCGACACTCGAAGTACTGGATCCGAGACTTACACACTGCAACAGTGTTGAGAGTGATTGCAACAAATGCAATGCCCCAGCCCATGATGAGAGCGGTTTCATTGAGATTTTGTATCCCAGCACCCAGCGTCAAAAAGCCACAGATATAAAGCGGCATGGCTAAGTAACAGGTCCTACACAAATTCTCAGCTCTAACCTTGGACCATCAGTTGAGTTTGCATACCACAAGCGGCTCTCGGCCTCGAAGAAACCACCGTTTTTGCGAATATGCAGATCCATAATGAATTCATTAACGTAACGTCCAATGAACTCGCCAAGAAGGACGGCGACCTAAAAATTCCATGCTCAGAACAGTACTTCATAGACGGAAAAAACTTGCAATTGGAGTCGCATACGCTCCAGCCACGGCATATTGGCTAAAGCCAAATCCGACCGGAGGAGGAGATCCCATGAAGACAACATTTGTCGTCTACAAAAGTCGATAAGTTGATTACTGCAGGTCGAAACGAAAACGCTCACGTTCACACCGATCGAGAACCCGAAAAGCAATGCCTTTCGAAAAGGTCAGCAAATGTACGAAGTATGGTCAGCAACGCAATTCATCTCACCTCAAAGAGAACTACGAAGAAAAACTGAGGACGCCAAACGACATCCAAAGATGCCAATAGAACTTCCGGCCATCGTGGTCTGTATTTTGCCATCTTGTACCCAGTGACGCCTATCAAAGTTTCAAATCGATATCGCAGTCCCGTAGAAATTTGCAGTGGCTTCGATGCAAGGCGACGATCATACATACTGGTTCAGCAAAAGTCAACGCCACTATCTTATGAAGAAACAGTATGTCAGAACGTACGTTTCTTCCATGAAAAACGCAATGAGAAGTAATACGATGGCGTTGTAAATAGATCCTATAGCATAGGCCCATCTCCAGCTATCCAACTATTGATGGGTATCCTGAATCAAAAATAGTATATGTAAGACGTACCTCGCACGCGCTACAAGAAAGCCAAATACAAATGGTGATAAGAAAGGCGATCTATGAGATAGTGAGAAATGTTTCTCCCAATAAAAGGATTCATTCTCTGACATAACAACACCCGAGGTCCAGATGTTCAGCTTCCGTGCTTGAAGATGGAAGGGGAAGATATCCGTCACGGTATAAAGACCCTTGGAGGTTGGTGAATGACAAAGCTATCACGAGAATCGCTACTAATCATACTGTCACCTGGGGACACGTTCTGAGACCGTAGTCAGTTTAACGCAGCCATGAAAAAATGATGACCTGCCCAAAGAATGCACTCAGGCAACGCATCCCTTCATCAAAGGTTAACATTGTCCAATAAATACCGAATTATTGTGTAAATACCTGCGAAGGTGGCTAGATTCGGCGCCAATGTGGCACCAACCAAGAATGCAAGTGTAAAAAGCTGCGCTCAAGTTTTCAGGGTTCATATCGGCCAAATCACTGGAAATATATACCTGACTCCAGAAGAGTACTGGCAACCGACCATACCGTCTCACGAGCATGACCCAGAAGATGCCTCCCCAACCTGGACTACAGATGAGAAGATGCTATTCTCATGTAATGATGTGATCTCACCCAGAAGGAAGATGCCCCAGCTTCAGGGAATTGTCATTGAATGTGAGTGACGATTGATGCATCACGCACTTTGACGTCAGATCGTTGATGACACCCGAGGTCGTGTCATAAGTTTGAGCGAGGCCAAATATCGACGCGATTCCTGCCAATAAAAGTTCACAATGACACTACTATGGATAATGAGCGAGGGCGAGATACATACCAATTCCACCGTCAAAGTCAGGTACCACTCCAGACATCGTAATGATGATCAGGTGCACAGTCTTACGGAAATCAGTCCACTACGAATGAATAGCTTAGTGTTAGTGAAAGGGACACGATAGTGAAATGACGAACATTTTGCGGGTCGTTCGGGTCGTCAGCGGGTTGAGGCCAGAGAACCTTTAACCCATCAGGATTAAGCTTGAGCCTAGAGGCCATTACCTCCCCAAACTCGACCTTCGCCTGTCTAGTGAGTTACGAATGAGTAACGATGGACTCGGGATAAGTAGGAGCAACAACCACATACTCGGGGTCAACTACTAAACGGCCAGTATTCTGCTCGTAATAAGCGACAAAATCCACCTCATCGGTAACATCGACTTTGATTGAGTCATCTGCCTTCGTTTCTGACTGCAGTTGCTGGGATTTAACATCCTCTAGAGCCATTAGTGTGAGAATTGGGAAGCGAATATCGTCACTTGATACCCATTATCAATTTAAAGCACAGTACTTACGATGAGAGCGTATCTCTTTTAATTTCGGGGGAGCGCAGATTGTGAGGCCTTGCCAGAGTTAAAATCGTCGTTTTACGATCCCTGTTCAATATAAGTAGTCTGCGAGTTGGACGAGCTGTATTTAGCGTAAAGTAGACCAAAATTGTAGGCACAACAAGCAATTCCAACAAGCGAGGAAGAGATCAGCATAAAATCAGTTTGAATCTACTGCCACTGCTGATAGGCCCGGGAGCTCACAGTTAGTGTTGTGGGCAGAACTATTTCAAGGTAGTTCTACTACCGGCAGAACTGCGAGAACCGTGGCAGCATCACGCAACTAAGATTACCCGATATGGACGGTAGGGTGAACATATGACCAAACAAGTACGCCGTGATGTCAATGTAAGTTTGATGTAAGTAGATGCTTCTTGTATCTACATCACATACTATGTCGGAATTTTTTTGTTGCGTGCACCCTACTCTCCCAAGTGAATGCACAGTTAACGCGGCTGAGATCAAGTCCAGCGATGTTGGAACAGAGCGGCAGGCTTTGTTGCTAGAGGCAACACAACTTTCATTACTCTGGCTGTAGGCTGAGCGGTGCCGGTGATCAAACGTTCAAGCCACAGAGTGGCTTAAGCTATTTTTATGCTCATCAGAATTGGCCCGCGCAGAAGGGACAGCAGCAGCTGCACAACATGCAAATGGCAATGAGGCTGGCGGTTCGACGCAAGCAGGTCAATTTCTGGTTTGT